CCACGGCCCTCCAACGGCTTACCCTGCAGCTTACACATGCGGGCCACCAAGATATTGTCCGCACCAAGCAACGGCTCAACAGCAAGGTTTGGTGGCCCAACATGGCTACTGAAGCCGAAGCACTCTGCCGGCAATGTATTCCGTGCCAAGCAACTCTCTCAACGACACCGCTACGTCCGGGAGTCCATGCCCACACCACCGTCCACCAAGCCGTGGCAACGAGTCTTCGTCGATTTGTATGGACCCATGCCAAACGGTCAGCACCTGCTTGCCACTATCGACCAGTTGACTCGCTACCCGGTCATCAACGTGTTCAGCACGACACCCACTACGGCCGGTGTTGTTAAAGCTCTGCGCTCTACATTATCCATGTTCGGCTTGCCCGAAGAGCTAGTCTCGGACAACAGTCCTCAGTTCCGTTCTTCCGGCTTTTGCTGATTTCCTCGCGCAACACGCTATCCAGCACCGCCACACCCCTCCTTTGTGGCCACAAGCAAACGGAGCAGTCGAGTGCCTCAACCCTACCATTGGCAAAGTTCTGCGAACTGCCAAACTAGCTGGCGAAGACATCAATGTTGCATTAGACCAATGGCTCCTAGCGTACCGCACCACGCCACTCACGAGGCACCGGCAACACTCATGTTTGGTCGCCCCATCCGCGACAGCATACCCTGCATTACGGCAGCCGCACCAGACTTGCCTTCAGCTGCCCACCGTGACCAGCAATTCCGTCAATCCCAGTGCGACGCTGCCAATGCCACCCGCCGGTCAAACGCCCCCATCCTCACTCCTGGTCAGTGCGTCTTACGCCGCAATGAGCAGGCACACAAGCTCTCACCACAGTGGGATCCCAACCCCTGGACCGTGGACCAGATCTCTGGGTCTACGGTGACGATCTCCAACTCAGCAACTGGCCAAAGATCGACTCGCCATAATTATGTCGTTCGTCAAGCCCGTAATTGTTGTCACACCGCCAGCCCATCACCCACTACCAGCTGAAAGTTCTGCCACCACACCTTACAAAATTACAACAAAATCACATGCAAGAAGTCCTTTCACTTTGACTACTGCTCGTTGCGTGACATCACTCCTCACCAAAGGACTTCCTGGGGATCACAATCCTAAACAGACAAATGTACGAATACCGCAACTGACTCTGTTGTTCTGCACGCCACGATCAACACACGACTGCGTGCAAGACACAGCTGATCATCGTCGCTGTACTCTTCCCTGAGCACGTTACCCTGTCGCTGCACTGTCGCTGCAGCCTGCGACGGACATTCCATAGTTCCACCAACTTGATGGCTTGATGTTCCCATTGACGTCGACCATGCGGTGTTGCCATTGACGACCTTCAACTTCAGGTCCTTGCCGTGGTCCGCACCATTCAAGAGATGGGCCACATTTGGTGTACTTTCACCCAGTTGGTCACTTATTTTAACCTTGCCGACTTTCCACTGCCGGACTTCAACAACTGGCGGAGAGCATATACGCATATCATCACTCTTCCTTGCAAACATCATTTCCGTCTCCACCACGTCCTTATCAGCCTGATCCATGCCTGACACCCCCAAGGCACTGTCCACTGTGCCGCCGGACTGGTGGAGCGACAGACCGATTCTCCAGTGACGGTCGTCGTCCACAAGGCTGTTGGAGTGCGCATCCAAGATGTGCTAGAGCTGTTCAGTGTCGTGCAATGCTATCGCATGAGCTGATTGTTTAGTAACTGGTGGTGTTAGTGGACAGTATAGCGTAACTTGTAGTTCCTTGGTCTTTTTCTTGTGTATAAACAAACCAGTAAGCTAACGATAAACTAGTTACACTGAGACAATTCGACTGGCACAAATTACAACAAAATCACATGCAAAAAGTCCTTTCACTTTTACTACTGCTCGTTGTGTGACAACCACCATCATCAGTGTGCGCATTGCGCCTGGTTTGGTGCATGCCTGGTGGAATATGACATAGCGGCTGATGCAGTGGGCACGTCAGGTAACACCTAACGCATTGAAAATGACTCAACTATGACTTGGTTCGATTGCAACAAACCTAATGATAGTGGTACCGAAACATTCGGGTAACCGGAGTAAGTGCCAATTGATATTTTTGGCTCCAATCAGTCAAGTGATTCAATTGCAATACAATTATATACGTACGGTGGAGCTCACTTAGTACGTACCCGGGTAAGACATACACCTGCATAACACGGTCCTCTTTTGTCGCACGGATTTTCCTCCCATAAGCGCATATTCAGATGTGTACGGATACCTTCTGTTCATGTGATTCATTGTCGCTGTGTTACTGTATGCAGATCTCACTGAGCTCTGCTCTCCGAGCATTCTGCATCCAACACGACTTCCCGAAAGGTATGTATGGTGGCTAATAAATAATGCGAGAGTCTTTACAGATTCCAGTGCTCTCATGCCTTTTGCAAGTTCCGTTTGTAAGTCAAATGGAACATGGTTTGTGGTCAATACTTCAGCAGTAGTGGTGCGAGAATATTCGGGTGTCAAATTGCTCGGAATTGATGTATGATAACGGAGAATATACCAACATGTGAATCACTTGGAGATATGGTTTGCCAGGTTCTGTTCACACTCACTAGGCTAGACCCTCTCGAATATTGTACAACAGTTTTGGCCCAGGAGTGGTAAAGGGCACGGGGCAAGCTATGTCGGGACCTGCTGTAAAGTCCGCCATACACGAGCTGTACGTCTTATCGGATGGGATATACCCCTGATATTGCTGATAATGAATGGCCCAGTTTCATTGTACTGCTGTCCGCGATATTATATCCTTAGTGGCATTGTTAACTTCTCATTGCTTGTGGGGACGCATGGGTCATACGTCCATCCAACACCTGCCAATCGGAACCCACCGACAACGCTGTCGGTTGGGTTGGACCACAATCAGTTGGTTTTTGAGTCCAAGATGCCGCCTAGGTAGCACACAGCATTGCTAATCTGATTTTAAATTAGCTGCGCAAATCCTGGCATACTGCCCGTAAATGCATCTAACTCCCAGGGTACTTATGAGTTTTTAGGTCTATGTGGTACTTGTGTCGCATTGGCAGCCACTGTTCCGTTCTGTATTTTCTGGTGTATGTGTCGTTGAATCTCCACAGAAAATGTGCTCGCGCATTAGAAGGAGGTGAAAGATGCACCTGCAGGAGAATACATGCTTAAGAGAAGGCAGAAACATGCCCGGATCCACCAGAACTAGTGCTGGCAAGTCAACAGAGGCGAGTACTGATAATGTTCCAGATTGTGGTAGGATCACATAAGCAAAATTGACACTGGGAGGCACGGCGGTGGGTCAGCTCATGGCCAGCGCCAGCTCCAGTGGATATCACGTGCATCCAGTTTTAGCACTATAGTATGACTGCTACAAAGTAGTGCGGCCCAAATAGAACTCGGGTCAGGTGCCGAAGAACTGGGGGGGGGCATGTGTCAATGAATGGTAATAACTCCGGACATCATGCTGGTGTATCGAGGGCGTGGGCCAATGAAGTGCTGGATTGATGGTGGACGGCTGTACTGCAATCTTGGCTGGTCCCACTATCGCAGAGACAGCACTTCCTGGTGCAACCACCCTATCCTGCAATCTATATAATAATTATTATAAGAGATTTGTGTGAACGATTTTAGCATGATGCAAGTCAGCTTATTGTGCTGGGGGCCTGGCTACATGTCACTATAGCTTTTTATAGACTCGATCACCGCATTACGCTGCCTTGCGTTGACTTGATTGAGCACTCTTTTTGGTTAGTGTCAAAGGTATATGTAATATGTATCTGCCTTCGTGCAAAGCTCTCTTTGTGCGTGTCTCGCAGATAGCTCGCTGACTTTGATGCTTTGAGCCATTTTCAAATTGCTTTTTTTGTTCATTTCATATAGACCGTATTGCCATTTGTTTAACCTCCCGCTCTGAGCGAGCTCCACTGATGGGACCTAAAAAGGCTGAAACAGCTGTCTGGAGATTGAGCGTCAGTATTATGGATTTAGAATACACGATCTGGGGACAGCACAAGTACTGTCTAGCTGTTTCGTCCTTTGTGGACTCATCAGCGAATCACGGAGAAATAACTCTTAACTAAGGATGAACCTAGCAGCCATGAAAATAGATAAATAATGCCTCCAAGCCAGAATTCAAGGCTACATGTGTAGGCCCGAATGTGCCTTGCCCGAGTGCTGAAACTGATGTCATTGAGATACGCATAGAACATCTGGCAAAGGAACTACTAAAGCCCCCACAAGCACGGTATTCTGCTTCAACAAGGAAGAATTTTGAAAGCATGCACAGCCCTACATGTATAATGTTGGTATAGGTAAGCCTTGTTTGATAAATTAATATGACAAGGCGGGGTCGCACTGTGTTAAAAAACAGTGCTCCTGATACACTAGTGTCCTCGGCTTTGTCACATGCTGTCAACCGATCAACACATACAACGTTGCATGCAAAACGGCTGCAGCCTCGAAGTACGGAGTGCTATTTTGGAAAATGCTAGATATACAGCCTGTACTTATACAGGTGTTCTATCAACTAGTGCCATTATGACAACGGTAGCTGAATGATACATGTACATAAACCCGGGGTCATCATTGCAAGAACCTCTGTGTCTAAGCCCGAAGTAACATTCAACTACATGACTGTATACACCATCATGTATACGCCATCTTCGTAGTAACTGAGTCTACCCCTCACCCACTACTGCCACTGTGACCACAATAGCGCACAAACAGAGGACCTTAGAGGACCTACTTCTAACTACAGTGCTGGCCAAAGAAATCCAACCTTATGAATAAAATTGCACCGGGCAATACGCAGCCCTAGTAGTATACATGTACATACTGGACCGGTCTGTGCTCTCGAACGCGGCGCTACTTTATTAACGAGGTTGGATTTCTCTGGCCAGCACTGTACAAAATACACACATGCACACACAACACTGCTAGGCTTTCCACCACCACACTAGGTTTTGAAACCGAGGAGTGGCAAAATTCAGGGCCAGACTAGAAAATCTGGGGAGACCTGATGGTTTTTTAAAGCAAAACACAGCCAACACTCTGCAGCCTCAGGCAGGTTTTCCCGAGTGCACAAAATTAAAAGTTGTTGAGGCACCACGAATACAGTCGGGCGTCACAGAACGTGGGACCCAGGAATGTACGTGTATACCTCTAGGAACACCACAGCCAATAACGTTTTAAAAAGAAACGCAGTGTCAATAGACTCAAGTCTCTGCTTTTCTGGAATACAGATTCTGCTACACACGTATTGCTCACTATCCAGTGGGATGTGCATCTAAGAAGGTGGTACAAGAAGTCAAGGAACTATTTTAAAGCCTAAGGCCAGATTGCTGAAAGGTTTTGTGTAACTGACGAGCCTGACCCCTTGGAAACAACAGCCGTGGATACGTGGCTCTACTGTAATAAATGTACAGGTACACAAACAATTTGAATGCAGAAATAACAACAACAAACAGGGAGAGGTGTAGGAAAATATACTCGGCCCCTAGTGAATTTGCTTGTGTATTAGCTTGAAAACTTTGGGTACACTTGTTGAGAGACCTAACTGCATGCAGCTAAAATATGGAGTGCCGTTGTCACCGACGACTTTTCCAGTAAAGTTGCGGCTAACATCTTCTCAGGTATTCCCGGGTCTTCGCTAAGGCCGTAAGGGTGAATGATATCATGTGCGTCTTCTATTGCTGATGTCGCTACCCTCGATGGTGGTGCTGATGTACTGATTGTGGTGGAAGATATTGAGATGCCGTATGTCTCGAACCTTTTCGCCAAGTCTCCGCGGCCATCGCGCAAGAGGGTCGGGAGCACCACAACTGCAATGCCACAGATCCAAGGATCGATTCTCGGACAAAACATTCTTCAGATTGCCAAAGGTCCGTCCCCAGTGCTTGGCAATACTGGCCTGTACAGCATGAACACACCACACATACGCCCACACACCATGTACCATGTAAACGCCCGTTGCAGGAGAAGCACGCAAATCTGCAAATGAATTGGATGTGCACCCACAGATTTTCTCGTATAGGAACAATAGCTGATCTGAATCTGAATAAAACAGATCAAGACTAGTGCCAGATAACAGTTTAATCCGCACAAGGCAACTGGCGCAGCCATGTGAATCTCGAGCAAAATGGACAAACATGTCCCCAATTATCAGCAAACGGGTGTGCGTTACACGATTGGCCTGGCAACTTCAAACAGGCACAATCCACTAACGTGGTGCCCCGTCAACTTCAACGGGAACACACCGATACAAACACAGCCCCACAACAGCAAAACGGGAACGCCGTTACAAATATGGTGCCCTGGCAACTTAACGGGAACGCACCAACACAAGCTGGCCTGGCACCTTCAAACAGGCACAACTGACAAAACACGGCATCCGGCAACAGCAAATGGGTAGGTACACCGTTACAAGAACAGTCCATCGCACCAAAATGCTGCTGCCACAACATTATAGCAGCAGCACGCCAGACATGCATACATGGCATTCCCAAAAGCAGATACCTGGAGTCAAATTCATCCATCACACTGTTTGTTAGGGCTGAATTTTACAGTGACAATAGCAAATCCCACCTAAGGCACATGTGATGAGATCTGTACACCAACTATAGTCACAGAATCAATGCACATTAGTAGAGCATAAGAACTCACTTGCGCTCATACCCTGTCACGTAGAGATGCTACTCTACGTGTACTGTTCCGATGTCCATTGGGGTGGTATGCCGGCCACTTGCCAGATGTAGAGCTTTTAAGCCGTACTTTGCCACCGTCTGCTTGCCGTATCACCACCTCACTTGCAACTCTGGATTCCAGGACTGTCGCTCCAACAATGGGCATGGAGCGGGAGCTAACCTGATAACAGTTGAGAGCGTGACAGAGTATCTTATTTAAATAAGGCCGAGTAAGGTGGATCCCTTTGGCAAACGTGAACACAGGCTTGGTGCTACAGGCATGGGCTGTCATGTACCGGAATAGCCAATACCGGGCATGTTTCGTCGACAGTAGATGGAACTGCGACGGCTCCACCGTATATCTTCAGGCGCAACGTGACCAAGTCAGGTGCGAGACTCCCAGCCTCCCACACAAATACTCTTTGGCTGTCAAACGAGTGAATACTAGTAGATGATGCTAAATACTCGCTGGCAAACAATAAGCCATACAAGGCCAGTAGTATACTTACCCACAGCATAGCCTGATCTACAATATGACTGATTGGATCGTTGTAAGTATTGCCGAAAATGGATTAAGTCGTCCACTAAAAGCTCTTTGAAACTCGGATGTTGAGCCAATATGGCAATAATAAAATTAATGTAGAAAGGAAAAGGACGTATGGATATGAGTGTAGAGTAACTGTCACTATAATACTAAATACAGTCAGAAAGTGCAACAACCAGGCACTAAAACATTTGACGACCCGACTCCTGGCTTCAACACATCTCCGTAGTGTTAAGGAGAGACCAAAGAGGGAAAGGTAATACTGGTTTCGTCATCGTCCAGTAACAATCAACATTTCTTGTTCTTGTGGGACTGTAGCTTCAACTACTAACTTGTGCTCATTTTCGTTGCGCTTACCTTCCCCTCTTTGGTCTCTCCTTTTAACCTTGAACCTTCCAAGTTGGAAGGCTGTTGGTTAGCGCTACGGAGATGTGTTGAAGCTAGGAGTCAGGTCGTCGAATGTCTCAGCACTCTGTCAGTTTTGTGCCTAGTTGTTGCATTTTTTTTACTGTAGTAGCTAGTTACAGTGGTGGACAGATACTCTTAACTCGTATCCATATGTCCTTTTCCTTTCTAATAAAAGCTCCATCCGCAAATATGCCGAGGCGGCTTGCCGTCTCTCCCTCTATGCCATGCAACACAACTGTTGAGCGAGCAGCTTTTAGGCCAGCCCCACTGCACAACAGGTAATAGGCTACTAATAGCGTAACGCAGCTAGGTAAACACGAATCGATGAAAGAGGCAGACTTCTTAGAGACTAGTTGTGAAGGACACAACATTTTCAGCAGTCAGCAGTAGGATATATTGCTCTTAATTATGCAGCAATACTAGGCTTACACGTTTGTGTCATGCGTTCTGAGACGGAGTCCTTGACTAGCTCGTCACTGGCCGCACTCAGAGCAGCAGTCGTCACTACACATGGGTTGGGAAGCAATGGACAAAATTAACACTTGCCATGCACACATGCACTGCTTACCAGCTAAGTTAATATGTCATACTGTACTGCAGCAAGCAAGGAACTGGCAATACCTGCACCAGGCCTATCTACTGTGACCCATGCCATTGTGAATGAGAAGAGGCAGCATTTGACAGTATGAGCGGTGTGATGAACGGGAATGCATAATACAAGCCAGTCGAGCATTGGTACATGTACTTACGGACGCAAGTTGGCTGCACACCGCTCCACTGGCCGTTGATTTCACAAGTACGCACGGCCGAGCCCATAAGGACAAAGGGAGATGTGCACACAAACGTGGTCGTGTTGCTGAACATCAAGCCGTTCACGGTCATTGAGCCCAGTGCCGGTGGTGACAGGACCTGGCAGTCGGTTTGACCTGCACAAGCACAGAGTGCACAGAGCACAGGCATTCAGTGCATGCATGTTTGGCCTAGGAGTGAAACGAGTGCCAAAATTGAGGACTTGAGTACTCTTTGAAAAAACGAGCGAGTATTCGAGCGAGTACGAGTATTTTACTGACAACATAAAACAATGTACTGCACACACTCTCGTAACACTGAACGTATTACACCTGATACACATGTAGTCTTGCATGCAGCCTAGTGCAGGAAATAGTCTGAACTACGTCTTTTGTTGGTAAGTAGGGACAAGTAATAATTTCACACTTGCATGGGTTATCAGTACTGGTCAGAGTAACAGACGTGCTTGATGTACAAGCTTACAGTACACTGTGCATAAGATACTTTGAGTATTTTGCGAAGCGAGTCCTCACTCCTTTCGAATTTTCGAGCAAGCGCTCGAGTATTCGATATACTCGTTTCATCCCTAAAACGTTTGCGTATGTGTGCGTAGCACAGACGTTGGTTTTGAATACATTGTAGTACACGCATTGTGTAAAGGAAATTGATGCGAAGACTGCCTCAACATGGCCATGCAAAGTAATAAAATAAATACAGCAGTGAATAGCGGTCAACAGTAGCTCTACATTTTGCTTGTAATAGAAGTCATTAGCGTCAGAGCAAGAAGAGGGACAAGACGAGTCAAGGGACAATCCGGAGGACGAAATACCATACGACCAACTGTTTGTTTCTACCAGCGTTATTGTACCGTCGACACAGCTCTGACGACGATATACTGGGCGAATGCCTCGGGGCCTCCCAGCGTGTCAGCGGCAGTGGGTGATGGGTAGATAACAAGGTAGCTTGCGGACAACATCGGTGGCATGAAGCCTAGTGACTGCCAAGCGTCTTGGCGCGACGGGCGAGCAGTACAGTGTCATGCCCCAGGGGCTGCTGTGGCTGTCGACGTCGGCGGGTCGTGAGGTGCGTTCGCAGGCCTTCATGGCGCTCGGACAACTGCAATACTAGTACACAGACTCTCACTACTAGCTACATAGTACTCTGATTCTGGCACGTTATTTCTGCATTGAATAGTGATTGATTTTCCGCGCCGAATATCCGACGCTGCATGCATGTCCAATGCGCGTCAACAGTACTTCACACTTTCCTTTTCCCGCGTTATCACCTCAGCTATGCAAGTTTTGTATGTGGAAACCCCCTATATAATAGCAGTTGGGTCTATATTTTTAATCATTCAGTATCTACCTTCACTGATGAGCTATGTATTAGCGAAACAGCTGTCTGAAGGAGTTTATCAATATCGTCTACGGAAGTGTCCTCGCAATGGTGATGGTTGTGTGCAGGAGGGTCTAGTCGGCTAAAGAGCGCAGTGTGGTGGTGGAGGTGACTCAACATTTTCTTCAATGGCCGAGAGCTCTGTCGCACCCTGTAATAATAATAGAAGTCATGGTACTACTATCAGTGCTGCTGCTGGTGCTTACCTGGAGCTGGTGTGACCTTGCCTGGGCAGTACTGTGCATCAGAGCCATCAGCACAGTCGTACCAAACACCGTCGCAGCGCTGTGATGGCAGGATACAGCCACTGGAACGCAGGCAGGGCAGGTAGCCAGACTGGCACTGCAGTTGAATGGCTGGATACACGTACCCATACACACAACACACAAAGCAGTCAAGAGATGAAGAAAGTGTCTGCTCGGCACATCTTTTGTATAGTCAAGAGATATTAGCATATTTGGAGGAGGTGGTAGCCTAAAACAGGCTCGACAAAGTTACCGGCTTATGCCAACAACTCAGTGTTCTGGTAGAGTAGACGGTTCGATGAACGCCTTGACAGCCAAATTTGTAGTGTTTAAACCGAACACGGATTCTTCGAACGAATAATCTATCGAATAATTTCGCCCTCCATCGAACGAATAATCTATATTCTATCGTACGCATGATGGCTTTTTCAACACTTTTTCAGCACTTTTTAAGTAGTTTATTTTTTATTTTTTTGCTGATTATCGGGTTTTGTTGTGTGGAGGTGCAAAACCGGATAACATGTACCGCCAAGAGCACATAACCCCCCAGAGTGTGCACCGCCTGATCCAGCTCTGCATATCGCATAGGGTCTTGGTCGAGCGTAATTGGATCTTCACTGCATCCATGTTTCCCTCGTATCGAAAGAACAGAAGTATTACTAGATACCGATAGGTGATTAAAACTTAGAGAAGAGATTGAGAAGAAATACTGCGAGCAGATCTACGCAGTGCAAATATCAGTAGGGTCAGCACTGAGCATAGATCTTTTTTTTTTTTTTTTTTTTTTTTTTTTTTTTTTTTTCGATTTCTGATAATTCCTACGACTATTCGATTATTCGTTCACCCCACGAATATTCTAAATTATTCGATTATTCGATTATTCGTTTCAACACTACAAATTTGTATAGACCCAAACCGATCATCAGCGTTGATTTTTCACTCGAAATATGTTTGTGGAAGGAAACTGGCATGTTGAAGTTTGCTCTGGGGCCAGAGTCAATCGAACTGAGCCACTCCTTTGTGTTGACCCATTGCATCCAAGTTGCCCAATTTTTCGCTTCAAATCAGAGGTGGCTCCAAACCGGACACGTTTTAGAGTGCACGTCAAATTCACTCTGGGTCTGAAATTAGGTACAGTAAAACCTGTAACTAACGACCACCGTGACTAGCGACCGGCCTGGTACTACCGACCACTTTGTCAGGCACGGACGGTCTCACATTCAAAATGCACTGTGACTAGCGACTACCTGCTGAACGCGACCAGCGACCGTCTTTTCTTGTCCCAATGTCGAATTTTGACCTGTAACTAGCGACCGCGATGTAGCAAATCAAACATTGCTTTAAGCTCCTTCTCGAAATTTTGATGATTTTCCATGGTCGTTTCAACACTACAGCTGGACAAATGAGCGCAGTCTCATTTTTACTGTGGAATCAGTGTGGACTGCACTACACCTGTCATAATTTCAAGTGCTGTCAAGAACAAACATGATAGGAAACGTCTTGGAGAGCGCATCCAAAGCGCTCTTTGATCGATGTTACTACTGGAAGGAGAAACTAAGGGTGCGTTCTTATATTCTCTAGCTTCTAGAAGAAGAAGAAAAGAGAAGTCGAAGAAACTGGGATTACTCAAGAACGGGTCTCGAAGAATTCGGAGATATTTTGCACATGTCAAGCAAAATGAAGCGCCAAAGGGGCCGCGATCTTGAGTGATGAATGTAGTAATGCACGTGTGCGTATGCGAAAAGGGAAATGCGTACACTAATGATGAACACGTGCCTTTTAGTCGTAGTTCCAAGCAGGGAGTAGTACAATACCATATTGTACTACTCCCTGGTTCCAAGAGTACATAAACCGGGGGGTTATGTACTCTTGGTAGTTCGCATGCGCTGATCCCAAACCGCGGGAATCTCCAAGTTTCAACCACCTCTGAAGCTTGGAGAGCTTTGGAGAGCCTCCTAAAAGTCGGAGAGGATATAAGAACAGCTCTCGAACTTTTCGGAGAGTCTCCAACTTTTCCGAGAGGATTTAAGAACGCACCCTAAGACTGAGCGGCTCTCTGTCGAAGTGCAATCACACAGCTCAGTCACCAGGTCACACTGACAGTCTGTGCTGGCTGGAGTCGATAGTGACTAGTCCACTGCCTGGCCAGGCCAGTGCTGCTCTGGAAACCCAGTAAGTCGACATACGTGTCAAAAGGTCGTATCGCTTCCGGTGTATAAAAAACTTGATTTTCTCTCTCTCCAAGTGTTGTATGATCTGAAAGAAGAATGTCAGTGCGCAAGTGGTGGGGGATTGTATCATCTGCATTTTGACATACATATCATATAATGGGATCCATATATGGTCGCGCGGTGCAAACCTCTAACTAAAGACCACCTGCTACTAACGACCACTTTTCCGGGCACCAAGGGGTGGTCGTTAGTTACAGGTTTTACTGTAATTGCTATCACTCCACGACGGCCAGTACAGAGTAACAATAAGCCTTGTGTGTGCTTCCATTAGTTTTGATTGGTATGCGGTGCTTTATTGGCAAGAGGCGAGCCGCTGTTTACCTGCGACAAGAAGTTGATTTTTCGAAAGTCGTAAAACTCAAGTCGCAGTGCGAAGCAACACGTCAAAAACTCACCTGCTTGGTATGGCACGTCTGGTCATCGCAGAGCCATGAAATTTTGGCTCGGAGTATAACACATCGTAGTCTCACTGTGACATATGTTTTCTAATCAAAATACCAAGAGAGAAAGTGAATATTGAGTCCGTTCCGGTTTGCAACCTGTGTCCTATTTGAAACCGTCGCCTCTACCCGGTGAAACACCTACAAGTATACCATATATCCTAAAGACTCAGGCTGAGATGCCCGACTGGTCCTGGGTCCTGTGATAAGCATGATCATCATTTGTGATGATGAAAAGTGGCAGGTAACACCCAGACTATTACATGCTCCGTAAATAGGAAAGATCAACGCCACCAGAATCTGCCTTCCTACAAGCCTGAAGCTTCTCTACACAAGAGGGATATATTGGCTCTCTTGAAATTCAACTTACGATTACATGAGGCAGCTGCCCCACTCCAGGAACCGCCAATCTGGCAGATGCGCACAATGCTTCCCTGCAGGTTGTATCCGGAATTTCAGCCGAAGACGACGCTGCCTCCAGCAGAATAGTTTGTGCCCTGGGAGTAGCCGTTGGTCGGTTTAGCTAGCGGTGCTGTACACGTCACAGGCACGTACACACACAGCACACACACACACACACACACACACACAGGCACACACACACACACACACACTTTGACCTTGATACACAAGGATTCTTCATTATTTGCCACGTTTGAGCTGAGCTGCGATCATCGCGCTTTGTTGCAGTGTGCTAAAAAAACAAGAACAAAAAAACGGCCTTGCATGCCTGGTGTACGGTCTGAAAGATGAAAGATGGAGCTCTTGTATACACGGGCCGGGAAAGTCTGCTTCGCCTGCTCGGCAGCAGCTTCGTAGTGGTGGTCAAGGGTCGAAGACCGACGGATACGGATCAACTCCCCAGTGAACACACCGTTGCCCATACTACAGGGGTGGTTACTACCGACAAGCAGATACAGGAAACGATTGGTGAACTTGAAATGAGGCTTCACCGCCATGTATCCCTTACTACGGAAAACTGTGGTGTCCAGGAAATCAATGCCATCATGTGCCAGTTCATGCGCAAACTCGAGGGCCGAACACTTATTAATCCTGTCTAAAGCGCGCTGAACTTGACCTTCGCAACCATGCAATGAAACAAAAATGTCACTGATAAAGCGTCTATAAACCTGAACCTCTAAACCCTCCCCCTCTAAGATCGGCAAAATGTACCGATTCTCCAAATACAGCATAACAATGTCGGCATAGACCACTGCTGCAGGCGAACCCATGGCAGTCCCTTGGATCTGCGGAAACAAATCGTTATCGTACACGAACCCGTTAGTCTTCCGAATGACTGATATCAAGGAAGTCACTGCTGTTGTTAACCGTGTACGAAGGGCCGGGGGCATCCACCTTGTATACCTGTGTGTGATATACCACGACAATGCCACGTGACCGAGCTCGTTGGGGATGTTGGTGTAAAGGCTGGTCACATCTATACTCAAAAATAAATGATCGTCCCGCACAGGCAAACCTTCTACCAAGTTGATGAAATCCGTAGTTCAGGCCAGAACAGTACTTTCCTCACGTACATACAGGTTCAGTAGAAAGTCAATGAACTTAGCGGGATAGTAGCCAGGGCTATTCAGACTAACAATAGGCCTAACCTTCAGGGCACAGGACTTATGTGTTTTGATAAGTCTCCTGAAAACGGGCATGCGCCCCCGGTGCGACTAAGAACAGTGACATATAAAATGGGCATACGATGCCCAATGCGATGCCTAGTCATGGTGAGCAAAAAATTGACTCGGGTCGCAAACACGAAGTCTCAACACAGCCTTGAGCCTGTTGGTTGCCATCGGCAGTCTAGCCACATGTTCATCTAGCCCCTCAGGAAAAAAAACAGTCATTTATAATGTTGGGCATTGTGATGCTGGGCACGACCTATATCATCATAGTGAGATCCGTCCAGGACTACTATCACAATAGACTGCCTTTGAATATGCCCGAGTCTGATCGCGTTCTAATTCCCAAACTATGTGCTGCATGTGTACACTCCGCCTATGGTTAGTCTACTCCAGAACAACGCCTGGAGAGGTTCATTGGGGGCATGATGTCCCCCACCCCATCCCCCTTGCCCCCTGCACCTGAAGTACCGGTATTGCCCCTCCCCCCCCCCCCAAATAAAGTACAGGACACAGATGGAGCACTGGGGAGCACGTAGCAGTAGGCAAGTTGACGATGCCAGTGCAGACACACCTCACCTCGGTCACAACACTGGCACAGTCATATGGTCTCCAAGGAACAT